CGATACGATCATTAAGTTCGTACTACGCTCGAGTTACGTGGGTACTACGCCTTCCACGTCTCTAATACGCCCGCACTGCACTGTCTTTCCGCCACACTCGCACCACGATTGTTTTGAACATGCTCAAGGTTTGGCCACGCTCTCCACGCTCATGCTGACTGCACCGCGCTCGATCGCGATCGCAGTACGTCCATATACGTTCATATACTGCGTTCTACACGTTTCCACCACGCTCTTAGAGCGTAGTACGAGCGTAGTGAGATCGGGGCCATGGTGTGAATGGGGTATAATACAAAACAATCGTATATACCAAACAAAACATTTGGAGGTCTATGACAGTGTGTCTTATAAAAATCTGTTTAAACAATTAAATTACCTCAGACACTTTATCATGATATTACATTTGATGAGTATTGCAGAAACTAGAACTAGAAAATCAATACTATGACAACGGCTTGATCATTTTTGGATTAGTTTGTGTCTTGGTAAATTTAGACATATAGTTAGGGCTTATGCAAGGATTGGTCTGAAGATACGACTCACCAATGCTTCAAATTTTGATGCCTTTTGCAAAACCTTACATTAAAATTTTGAGGTGATATTTATTGTGAAAGATGATTTGTTTGTGTTTGTTTCTTTGTAATTTTGATCTGGTCAGGGTTGGGTCACTGGGGGAAGGGGGGGGGGTGGCACTGTGTTTGTGAATCACAACCACGGCGCAGCGCCTCGTCGTTGGCTTGTTGCTTTGAGGATTGAGCTATCAGTATAAGGGAGTATATACCCAAAAAATAATTTACCACTACAACACTGACACATGCACACACACACGTACACCCACACTCATAAACATACGTGTGTGCGTGCACACACACACACACATGTGCGTGTGTGTGTGTATGTACATTAACATAATCAGGAGTTAATATAAAATTGTTACACGGCCATGCATATATATATAGCTTTGCTGCAAAATCTCCAGAGATGACGACCCATGTTCGTGTCATGACCGTGTCTGGACTGTCAAGCCGTCACCTGCTAGGAATTTACTGTCACCAATCTTGCCCATCACTGGTACTATAGACTACAAACAAGTAACCTGCCCCACATACCAAAAAGATACATACTGTATTTCAAGAATTTCCTAAACCAAACAACAAGAGCCGCAGAGCGTCTGGGCTCATCTGGGGTCTGTTGCTACGGTTATGAACGTACAATTTCAGTCGTGCGTAGTGCCACATTTGTTAGGCGCAGATATGCAGATACGCAGTTGCGTACACATCATTGTTAGGACACGCTCACTATCTCCCCCCCCCATGCGATTTTGGTTTATTTTATTAAATAATCTTTCCTTTTCCCTTCAATTTTGTGTAATAGTTTCACGGCTATTTTTT